AGCTCTGGCAGCCTTGGGGCTGTGCCCACTGCCCTGGGGAGCCTGTTCAGTGCCAACCACCCTCTGGGGGAAGAACCTTTTGCTGAGATCCACCCTGACCCACAGACACAATTTCAAAACTAGAGCTGAACTGGCTCCTGCTTTCCTGGGCTTGGTGGGCCCTGGTTTCATGTCAGAAATCAGTTCATATTGCAGGACCAATCTTAAGGAGGGGGAAGGATCAGCAGGAAAGCTGCACTGAGGAATCCAAGTGAGTGCATTCCCTGCTCTGGCTGCTCTTGCAGTGCACTTTGCTTCTGCTGGATCATCTGTTCAGCTGCTGGTTTGTGCACAAATGCCTGACCTGCACCACAAAAGGCCATGGGAACACTGCCATTCACCCTGGGGGTGGAAGTTTCAGCTCCAGATTTGCTAATCTGCCAAACACATTCCTCCTGGCCCTGTATCTGTTACAGACCAACAGCTTTGCAATAGAAATGTTACAGCCTTTCTGCTGTTTAGTCACCAGTTGGCACCTCTGAGACTTTTGGAGACAACACAATCACTCCTGGATTTCAATGGTAGGTTCAGCCCTGTTTTCTATTCCTGTATTACCTGAGAAGAGGCGACAATGTGTTTTTTTTTTCCTCTAGAAATCTCTTATTATTTGAAGCTGCTCAACAAATAGTTGGTGCAAATCTGGTGTAGAGCTGTGCTGTGGGTTCCCTGCCAACCATCTGCAATGGATATTTGATCTCTTGGTGTTTGGGATTTGCTGCTTCATCTGCAGACTGAGCAGCTCCATCACCTCGTTGAGATCCAGCTCTGTCTCAGCTTCCCCAACAAATTATTCTGCCCCTTCCTCAGCTGAATTTCCATCTGCTCACCACAATCAATACCATTTCCTTAGCTGAAACAAAACCTGGTTTAGAAACATTTAAAGTCATCCTAGCAGAGCCCAATCTGGGAATCAAAGCACAGAGGAGCTAAAGTGGCTCCTGTTTGCCATCATGCCACTCACTCTGTTAAAATATGGGATCCCTTCTTGTCACCTCTCTGGCTGCAAACTCTGCAGAGTGAAGGCTGTCACCTACTATCCCATGTTTTTTAGTGCTCTGGTAGAGTGTGGCCTTACCTCAAATCGATTGCCAGACCCTCCTGTAACACAAATGAGCAGCAACATTTCCATCAATCAAGCCTCACCCAAATGCATTTGTGTGGGAAACCAAAAAGAACAGATGAGAACATGATTGATTTGAAAAGCTGCTGAGAAAGTAGGGTGAGAACATTGCTGTCAGCAAACCATTCTGGGGGAATGGTACAGGAGAAATGATGAGACACAGCAAAATATCCTCGTAGAGTTTAAATTAGAAAAACATCTGTTTAAAGGAAACATCAACGCTCGTTTAGCTTTCACTTTGCAGAGCTGCTCTGGGGACTCAGCTATCAGATTAATTGCCAAAAAAAAAAAGATTCTTCCAGTTTCCCCCCTATAAGTTTCTGTGAGAAGACATGGAAGCAGAGTCACGGCTGATCCCAGGAAAATGTGGACACAAAACCCTACCTGTTGCTCGGAGGTCTTTCAGCTTCTCAAAATCATCCTCAAAGTTGGCAGATGTCTTGTCCTCATCTGTGTCTGACCTAGTGGCATCACCCTGCAGAGAGGAGGGGGATAATTAACAGGCACCATAATTTGGATTACTCAGCAGCTCAGAGTCACCTCTGCTCCCAGTGATCAGTTTGGGACGGCCCCAAGGGATGACCCCAGGCAAGTCCCTCTTCTATATTTTGATTAATTTTCACACTTGGACAGGTAGGATGGTGTTGTGGCTGTTCCTGCCACGTCATTTTTCCTACCTGCACCAGCCTCTTGGAACAGTGATTCCCAAAATGGGGCTGCAGTCATGGGAGTGACTACGAGAACCTGGCATGGTGGGGGGTTCCATATTTGCACTCCCCAGCTGAAAGCACTGGGGGTTTGATGTCAAAGGATGCTGAAGGGTTTTTCTTCTTTGTTTGACAGCACTGTAAATTTGAGTTAGACCTGAGAACCCAGCCCTGGTTTGCTTCCTTCAGGCTGGCTGGTAACTGAGATTGTATTGGGAAATCTCTTGGCTGTGCTGAGGCAGAGGGAATGAGGCAGCACAGAGAACAGCCAACCACTCTCACCCTGGTTTTCCTCCTGAAAGTTCAGTTAGTTTTCCCTTTCAAACATCTCTGCTACCAAAAACAATCAGCCTGGGACAGAGGAACTTCTCCTCCTTGCTGTAGGAGAGATTCCAGCAGACTGTTGGCTTCACTCTGGCTGGACTCATCAAGACTGCAGAAAATCTGTGCAAATTGATAGCAAATGGTTGGATTAAAGCAGCTGATCCCAGAAGAAGGAGCACAGTTCCCTCACTGATGCCTGAACAAATCACCATGGTTTCTAGAGACACGGCGCTGAAGTGGCAGTGAACTTAATTTCATGTGTGATGGATTGCAAACTGGTGCAGCCAAGCAGCCAGGATGACTGAAAGGCTTGAGCTCCCTTATTCATCTCCTCTGTTTTAGGGCAGAAACACCAGCAGATGAAAGATCTGCATGATTTCAGAAGGTTTGTCTGCTTTGCCAGAGCAGCTCTGGGGTAGATTTCAAACTGACAAGGGAACAATGTAAGCACAAATATGCAATTATGGTCCTGCTTGAAGTCTGGCTGCTTGTTGGACTAGGCACAAATGTACTAAAAATGGGTTTGTGGCCATTTAAGCCTCTTCTCTTCTAGGCATACTCCTGGCAAACTCGCTCCACAGGCAGAGCAGAGCCTGGGATCAAGCTGAGAGCGTGTCCTGCGATTCACAGGGCAATTTTTACTGTCCTTGCTGAAACACTGCTGATGGTTCCGAGTTCAGAGCAGCCCTAACGTGCACCCTCTCAGCTGCACAAGTCTCCCAGGAGTCACTCTCCAGGTAAAGTCAGAGAAACACCTGAGCAAAGGGAGGAGAAGTACCCTCAGAGCACCCTGGTCTAGTGGAAGGTGTCCCTGCCCAGGGCAGGGGGTTGGAACCAGGTCCCTTCCAACCCAAACCATTCCAGGATTCCATGGCTTATAAGCACAAGGCTCGACTTGAGCCCTGGTAGCTGAAATCCAGCCCTGAGAAGGGCTTTCTGCAGCACAGCTGATTCCTCTCTCCCAGACAACCGAGGAGCCCACGGGCTTGATGTCAGGGTTTGTATCAACTGCAAGCGGAGAGCAAAATGTGCCCTGCAAATGTCACGCCTGTGGTTGGTGGCCTTTTCAGAGGCAGTGCTGGGTGAGCAGCAATGCAGTGCTCACACACATTGAAATCATGGTCCATAACAGCTCTGGAAGGAGCCATTAAGCCTGAGCTTAAACCCCTGGGTTTTAAGCATTTGGCTGCCTCAGTGCTCAGGATCTCAGGGAGTTCTGCACGAGGCTGCCCCTCCCTGGCTTCACAGGATGAACCTGCAAGAGGGCAGGTCAGGGATGGGATCTGCTCTGCACAGAGATACCTGCAGGCTGCCAGGCTGCTGGGCAGAGAAAACTGCCTTAAAGCATCACCCTAAATATCTCAAAAATTGAGTGTTCGAAGCCTTGAAATGCAGCTTTTAAACTTGTGCTGCTGTGCAAGTAACACAGAAGGGACAGAGTCCCAAGGAAAGGCCAGGACTGAGAGCCAGTTCATATCCTGCCTGGTCCACATGACTGGAACTGGCTAGAATATAAGGTCTTCTATAGAATAGAATAAATATATATATATATATATAACAAAGGCCTGAAGTTGGCCACAAAGGAACACAAAACATGGGATATATGGGAGACTTGGAGAGTAAAATTACTCCTAAACTATTTCTCCCGTGTCACACAACAGACCCTGGAGCAGACCCACCAAGATCCTGGTCTCCCCAGTCCCACGACACATCCAGTGGGCCTTAATTAGGAAGATTGATTGGCAAGAGCTTCACACGCCCAGCCCAGCCCATCTACACCCCTCAGCTTTAAATTCAGGGCTGTTTCCACGGCAGGATGTTGCACTGACACAGATCCATCCCTGCAGGTGTGTCAGTGCCCTCCCACCTCTCACCTCTGCCTGGAATCCCTCCACCAGGATGGCAACCAGGAGGTTGAAGAGCACGTAATTCCCGAAGGTCATCAGGGCCACGAAGTACAGAGCTGCCCACGAGGAGGTCGAGGCCATCCCGTTGTACAGGACCACGTTCCAGTCCTCCTGAGTGAGGATCTGCAGGGAAGGGAGAGAGGGGGAAGGGAAGGCTCCAATTACCCCTCTCCTGCACAGCAGCCACGTTCAAACACTCTCTCAGCCACTTCTCCCCCTGCTTTTTGACCTTTCCTGAGCGTAACCACTCGCAGGTCTCACGAGACGGGGGCAGCAAAAACGTCCTTTATTTAGATCTTCACGTGGGAGCTCTCTCCTGGCCAAACCTCCCCCTCTGCCCAGAGAGGTCTAGTTCAGATCCCAGATATCATAACATGAAGGATGCACTTGTCCTAATCCCATTATTTCGTGGAGGTATTGCCTCCTTGGATAACCATCAGCAGATAACAGACCTGGGGCCACAGATCTTGTCTCCTTTCAGGCTGCTCTTTATAAGGCAACTGGAGCTGAAGGACAGGATATTTGATGGGATAAATCACACTGGGAGGCTCAAGAAATTCAGGGAAGCAAGGTGGTTTCCTCCAGGTAAAAGCCCTGACAAGCTGGGCAGAAAAATACACATCCTTGCAACAAAGCCTTGCTCCAAGGGATTTCCTCAGAGCTTTCCTGGAGCTCAAAAATCCTGGGGCCCGAGGAAAAATGGATGACAGATTCGTGTTTCCACCTTAATTTCTGCTTGCAGTGAAAATGGCCTCAAACCCTCCTGCAAACAAGGTGGCTTTGGGGAGACAGGGCTGAATTCAGCTGCACTGAGTCATGTCCCTCAGGAACCTTCATGGGACGTGGGACTGAGCCCTTGTGCTCTGTGCCAGCTCCAACTCCCAAGGGACTGCCAGGATAAATAAATGCAGCAATCCGTGTGTTGGTGAGAGAAAAAATGTGAACCTCTGAGGCTGATTTGTCTTTGCTCCTCTGCAAGACGTTCTGTTTTTCACAGTGGAGGCTCCAGACTGGTTTGCACCTTGACTGAATGATGCTGTGGTGAGCATCTACCCTCGTGTTGAGAAACCTGGCTCAGTGGTATTTCCACTGTGCTCCACCTGTAGCACTGGGGCTCTGAAGTCTGAGCTTTGAAACAGAAAAGGACTAACCTTTATATTTAGAAATGTCCCTGAAATAGCAGCTTATTGGGGAATATGCCAGTAATTTCAGGCACAAACCAGACCTTGGCTGCAGAGGAAACACAACTTTTTACAGAAAGACTTTCCCAGCATCTCCAACTCTGATTTGTGATGGTATTTGGCACTCCCAGCTACACGAAATTGCTTGCAAAGTGCATTTTTGGGGCAGTGCAGGTGAGTGAGGAGGCAGAGGTCTGCAGAACAGGGGCAGAATGGGCAGCAGACTGTGGGCCTTGATCTTATTGATGATATAAAAGGAAAATATGGGTGGGTTTCCCTCTCAGGCATTCCTTTTGCTCACAAGAGACATGCTGATTTTAGCAGACTGCTTCTTTCTCAGGGCTTACAGACACAGAAACAATCTCTTTTCCCTAATAACTAAACTTGGCACTTCTTGGAACGGTTCTGTGAAACAAAAAGTCCTCCTGTTCCACATTAAAACTCCCCCAAGGACCCAGAGCTTACCTGAAACACAGTGACAATGGCCCAAAGTAAGGAATCGAAATTCTTCCTGTCAGGAACTGTGTCCCCTGTGTCAGTTTTCAGGCTGAACTTGCATCCAAACAGATGCATGCCAAGGATGCTGGAGTGGGGAAAGAGGAGGATGGGAGAAGCTTGTTATTGTGGGAAATAGAGTTGCAGGGAGGATTGCAGTGATTTTTTTTTTTTTGGACACTTTTCCCCTCTCAGTGTTTTGGGTGCTGGTGGAACCTCCTGGGAAGGGGGGATCTGCTCCAGCACTGACACGATCACTGATCAAACCCTGCAAATTTGGCTTTTCTGTGCCCAATTTCATTACAATTTTCTACACTGAAGGGATCTCCTTCATCTAGAAAATGACAAACCACGTTGCCAGCTCCCTAATCCAACTGGTTTCCAACAAAAGGATCTTAAGGAGCATTACAGGGTCAAACAGGCCAATGCCTTGGGGCCTGTACAACCTCCATCCCAAATGTAACACTGGTACAGTCCAGGCCTGTTTGTGAACTTCATCCACCTACAGAATTAGAGAACTGCAGGGAAAAACAGACTGAAAAGGGGGCAAACAGTCACTGCTGTGGGCAGTTCGACCCCGCAGGAGCCCGCAGTGCATCACCGCTCCAACCTCCACACCCCTTAACCGAGCTGGACAACCCACCAGGGAAGAGCTGCAGCCCGTGGTACCTGAAGATGAAGATGAAGAGCATGAGCAGCATGCAGAAGGTGGCCACGTTGTCCATGGTCTTCATGAGCACCACGAGCTGGCGGCGCAGGGCGGGCATGAACCGCACCAGCTTCAGCACCCGCAGCAGCCGGAACGTCCTGAGCACCGACAGCCCCCCGTCCGACTGCCCAATGATCTCCCAGACACTGCAGGGACACGGGGCAACAGCTGCAACCGGCAGCACTGCACGGGGGAAGCCCTGAGGCTGCTCTTCCTACAGGGTTTCCCGCGGGAATCACACCACTCGAGCCCCACGGGAGTGTTTAATTGGCCTGCCCCTTTTCTTGCTTCTGGAGAACACCTTCACTCCCAGATCATCTTCAGCTTATCTCCCTTGGAGCTGGATTCTGACTCTTTGACTCCCTTGTTTTCTGTGGCTCTTCACAGCACATCCCCTGCCAGGCTGTCACAAGCTATCGTCTGTCACCAGCCCACCCGTAGAACGTGGATCGCAGCTCTGCACCGGGAGCATCCAGAGGGATTTACATCTTTGTTCCCGGCCTCTGTTGCTCCTCCCGTCTCTGAATCAAAAGGGATGGGCCAAGGGAAGCCAAGAGCACTGTCCTGGTTTGAATCTGTGTCTCCCTTGAATTCTCTGCCCCAAATTACTTCCTGAGGAGTGACCAGCACTGCTGGGAAGAATCCCAGCTCTGAGGGGTGCAGCAGCTTCTCACTCACGTGCTGTGGCACCCCCAGTTTAGGCTGGGACAGTGTTCCCTGGGAGAGGACAGCGGAACAGTGGCCTCTTTCCCTCCTGCTTCCCCTATTTCAGCCTGAGCTGTGATAATTTGGGACAGGGAGGGCACTCTGCTGGGACATGGACACTGCTCTCCTTTTCCCAGGACCAGCCACTCTGCACTTGAGTGGAAAATCGCCCCCAGTGCCAGATGTGTGGCAGAAATAGACTTTGTTCTCCATCTGCCAGGTCCATTTACTTAGGACAGCCCTTCTAACAACAGGGATCCAAAATGCCAGCGCAGTTCTAGCCCACCCCAGCCCTCCATTAACACGTGCCACGTCACTCCCGCTCCCCATCCCGCCCCCCAACCAGGCTGAGCCCACAGAAAAGCAGGGAAAGAACCAGCAGGGACCTGATGACAACGATGATGCCGTCGAAGATGTTGTAGGGGTTCTTGATGTAGCCAAAGATGCCAAAGGCAAGGAGCTTCAGGAGCATCTCCAGGGCAAACATGCTGGTGAAGACGATGTTGCTGATCTCCAGGGCGTTGGTCAACTCATCTGGCTGTGGGGGCAGAAAAGCAACGGGGTCAAAGAGATGCACAGAGGAGACGGGAAAGGCTGGAATGTTCCTCCTGGAGAGCCATGGAGGCAGAGAAATGTCTGAGGGGAACAGCAGACAAACCTCATGGATGGTCTTAGTGGAAACACAGAATCCCAGCCCATTTCTGGAGCAGTTGCTTTCCAAAGGAGAGGGTTTATTTACTGTTCCAAAATACAATTGTCCAGGTGAACAGTTCTATGATTTGGAGGCTCCTGTCTGGACTCACATGGGTCAGGCTGTTTTCACAGCACTAACCCCAGCACAACTTCATGGATAGTGCTACATCCAAACCAGGACCACTGGTTTGGATAGATGAATATTCATTTTAAAGCAATATTAAACCAAAATATTTTTCTTCCAGATATCTCTTAAGAGAATTAGAAAAACAAGTGAAAGTCATCAGCATCAGTAGTTTTATGTCCCTCGAGATATCTGCCTCCCTTTGGAAAATGTCCCCCCAAAAATCCAAAATGATCTTTCCTTCTGAAGCCCTACCTAGTAACATAGAGCAGATTTTGTTCAACTGACAGCAGCGTGGTCCTGAGAGCCAGAATTCCCTCCAGGATCAGTGTGGGTTTCTCTGACTGTACAAGGCTTCATGCAGCTTAAACCCAAGATTTTTTCCATTCCCCTCCTCTATCACCTCATTGCCCTGGGCCACAATCTTGTTTTCAGCCAGAGCCTGAGATCTTCTTTTCCTGGCAAGTGCAGCAGTGTCTGTCCAGCACCCAGGCTCCAAAACGTGGCACAGCAGGGACAGACACAAAAGGAGGGATGGGGTTTGCCCACTCCCTGGAGCTGCTCCCTCAAACAGCAGCAGGCTCTGACACGTGCATTTCCACATTTCTAGTTCAAGGCTTGTTCCTTTGCATGAGAAAAATGAGCCTCTTTCATTTCCTTCTCCTCAGTGCAATAACATTGTCTGGGAAAAGGTGTGATTTTCATATCTGACTCATCTCCTGGACTGTCAGTGGTTTCCTTTATTCCCTATCCCTCATTAGACACCGGGGTAAGAACTGGCTGTTTCTGGGGATGTTGTTGCCCTGTCTGAGGGTCCGAAGGGAGAGGCCATTGTAATACTGTGGCACCACCACATTTAACTCCACACTCTGCAAACCAAACCCTTGGCAACGGAAGGAGAGGAGAAAAAGAGTCAACTGAGGACTGCAGGAAGAGCCCAGAGATCCCCTCCTACAGGCAGTGCCAACCTGTGGGCTGCTAATGAACCATCACTCACAGCTAAATCACTTCATGCAACAGTCTGCCTGTTGCTCAACCATTTACCCAGCAGAAAACACTGAGAGCTCAGTCCTCGTGGTTACAATCCATACACCCCAATTCCCAAGGGACACCAGAGGAAGGACTGTGCAATTTTCCGTTCTCGAGTCTCCAGGAAGCACGTGAGCAGCAGGATCACCTGCCCACTGCCACCTGCAGACCCTTGTACTCTGCCACACAGCAGCCACCTCATCCTCTGAAGTCAACATTAGGGCAGTGCTCTCCGAGCTCACCCTGCTGCTGCTGCCAGATGTGCTACCAGGAGTCACAATTTCATCCTGAAAACTGGGAGAGCTGGTGATCGCTCCAAAACCCCTAATCCTGGAGTTGTTATGCGAGTACAGGATCATTAAGGCTGGAAAAAAAACCCCTCTCAGATCATCGAGCCCAACCATTAACCCAACGCTGATTTAAGTCATTCTCAGAGCTATTACCAGAGAGAGTGTGTCCTCCTCGAAAAGACTGAGCTGAACAAACCTAAAAACACCCCCGAGGCAAATAAAAAGATTTTGTAAGTTATTACTCTCTAAACTTCCAATTTCTCTAAGCCAAGATCAATATTTTTCGGTGGCCTGCTGAGCACACGGCATCTGCCAACACCACTGCCTGAACCGATTTACCAATTTCCTCTGACAATTTGTGCCCTCGTTGCTTTGTCTCCAGCACTGTGACTTTTGTTTTGTGTACCAGTCCAGGGAGTGCAGAGGGAAAGCTGCAGTGATCTGTCAGGGGAGGGGAGAGAGGGGAAGCAGGGGACGAGGAGGTGGCCCAGATGAGGTCAGCGGGAGCCGCGAGGAGGAGCTGACCCAGCAGATCGGAGCACGGGGCGAGGCTGATGGACAGCTGGCCCTGCAGAGCCAACCTCAGAGCAGGGATCTTCATTACCCTTCAGGGCTCCTGGGTGGTGTGAGGCAGAACTAACAGGGTGACAAGGACTGCTGTCAGCAGGGACGTGGGAGCAGTGGCAGGGAGGCAGGACAAGGATGGATGGCCCTGAGCGCTGGCCAAGCCGCTGCCGGGAGCTCTCGGATTATTGGAGTGGAAGCTGAGCAGCAGATGAGCCAAACACCCAGTGCTGCAGCCTTCAAGTGCAATGACCTTCTCTCGACACCAACTGGAGCTTGGAAAACGCTCCATGGATATTTTTCTGCCTCATGAAATGGTTTATTGCTCCGAGCAAACACTTCCCGCTCCTCTCGCTCCCAAAGATCCAGGAGGAGGGTCGAGGAAGAGACACTCAAAAGCCAAGATGGATGTGGCCACCCCCCCTGGAGTCAGCCACTAGGAGACACTGTTGTTTTGTTCGAATTTAAGCCAACCCCAGAGCAGGAATTTTTCCAGGAGTCCTTTTTTCTATGGGCGAAACAAAACGTTGATTTGAAAACAAAACTTGTCACCACGAGGATAATTTTGGTCCAGCTTCCTGGCTGGAAGATAATGAAGCTGCAACAAAACTTTAAAAGCAACGAAATGTCCATTTTGACCTCCTCAGAAAAGGAAATTTCAGGTTTTTGGCTTGGGAAGTGGTTGTGCCATGAAATGCAACTTCCTTTCTGGCCAGGAATGGTTAACAAAGCTTGGCAGCAAAACGATGCACTTCCAGGAGAGCGGTTCTAAAGTGGGTTTTATGCCAATTTTTTGATAAATCTTAACAACTCTGACAGGGAAATCATTTGCCCACCACTGGGCTCCAAATCAGGGAGAAATTCCCTTTTCAAACTCAGTGAGAGAGAGCACGAACTCTCATTAAATTTGGGCATCTCCCCTACCTCTTGCTGCTGCAAATATTTGCCAAGATGGGAACTGCTGGAGACAATCAGCAAAAAACGAGCACAGAGAGTGGTTCAACCCACAAGTCCCACTGGCAGGTCCCAGCTAATGTTCAATAAAGGTTCAGGTTTGAGTATAAACTTTGGAGATTTCAGATTCAAATTCCCATCCCTGGGCTGCAGGAGTAGGTTTCCCACTATTCCAGGGAAGGGGGGGGATCAATCTGTGAGATTTCAGCATCCTTGAATGCGAGTTTAAAGCAAGAGCAAGCCTTGACTGCAGGCAAAACACGTCCCACCTCCGCTCGCTCGGAAGGCCTTATTTATGCTGCAGAATATTTCAGGGATTCAAAACCATGCTTTTATTAGGGAAAAACCTCAAATGCTTCAGCAGTTCATTCTGAGTTCACATAAACAGACCAAAAAAAAAAATAAAATCCTTTCCTAAATAGTTTAGGTCTGAAAACCTCACAAGACCGGTCTCTTTCTGAGAATCTGATACTCCTGGTTTTAGGAAGGAGCAGCACAACCCCCAGAGCCTTCCTGGAATCAAGAAATTCAATAAAAGAGAAACCCATAATGGCCAAATTATTGATGGCTCCCGCAAGCAGAGAATGAAGAACAGGAGTGGGACTTTGCAGCCTCAGATTCTCTTTGTGCAACCGAATTACTGTAGTTCTTCAAGGAAGATGATCTCTTTGTTCCTCTTTTCCCTCTTGCCCATCTTCCCCCTCATCTCTTTTGATTGCTGCCATCCACAGCCACCTATTTTACATAATTTAGGCTCAATCCTCAGCAGGACACCGTGGCTGGGGCACCTTTTTGCTCTGAGACTGAGGAGAAATAATCACACCTGGCTAAAACTGCAGAAAAGGGCTGTTGGGCACCTCGTCCTTCCTGCTGAATGAACAGGGAAGGAAGTTTCTAGAGTGAAGGATGTGCTTTTTTTTCCAGAAATCCCCCCCAAAAGGCTCTCCTGAGCTGGGAGAGCCGAGGCTGGCAGGGCCAGGAGGGGCAGTAAACAAACCCTGGACATTTAGTCTCATAAACATCCTTTGCACTTGGGTCAGTTTTTTTTTTTTCTTTCCTCTAGTGCTGAGCCTAAAGCTGTCAATGGGATTTTGAGCACTTGTTTATGTTGGCTTTTCTGCTTTACCATTTTTAAGCTGAGCCTGCAGAGACTCTGAGCAGGCAGAGCAATCAACTGCCAATCTGCACTTTGCTTCTGGACACTCCACATTGTCTCTCCTCACCTCACTTTTGAGCAATCACAATTTTCCAACCACCAGGTATTCCAACTCAACAGACTTCACCTGTCTGCAGTCCCTGGGATCATCCCTATTTCAGAGAATTAAAACCCAAAGTGAATGCAGGAGAGGCAGGGAGCAGAGGACAAGGTATTCACTGACCTTAAAGCCCATCCAGTGGGCAGGGACACCTTCCACCAGCCCAGATTGCCCCAAGCCCCGTCCAACCTCTCCTTGGACACTCCCAGGGATCCAGGGGCATCCACAGCTTCTCTGGGCAACCTGTGCCAGGGCCTGCCCACCCTCACAGGGAACAATTTGAACATTCCCTGGATGAGAAGGGAAGGAGAGATGCAACATCTCCCAAGCAGGGACTCAAGACAGCAACAGTTCCAAGCAGAAGAGAAAACGTTGCCCTGCACTCTGCAAGCTGCTTGTTGTTATTTACAGCTCCTTCATTCCAGTGCCCCAGAAGCTGTCTGGGAATAGATCCTCTCCGAGGGAGTTTCAGGAGCCAGGGGGTCACAATGGAAGCAGAGCTGTCAGGGAATGGAAGTGACCCCCCAGCAAATGTGTAGGCTACATTCTCACCAAGTCTGACCTGAATAATTCTGATATTCCTAAGGTAAGTAAACAACCAACCAAAGAGCAAACCCCAAGCAATGGC